ATAAAATAAAATAAATAAAATTCTACCTCAGAGCTGAGCGTGGTGGCACATGCTCATGGTGGCACATTCCCAGCACTTGGAAGGCTGAGGCAGGAGGATCACTGCAAGTTTGAGGCCAGCCTAGGCTACAAAGTCAGTTAGTTAGCCTGAACTACATAGTGAGTCCCTGTCTAAAAAAAAAAAAACAAAGAAAAGAAAAGAATTCTACCACAGAATTCTGTTCCACCCTTCCTTGGTACAAAGCCAGGGAGGGCTTCTAGAGAGGACAACAGAGGTGCTTATGACTGGAGGTGGGAGCTTCATTTCTGTTTCTGTCCCAAATGTGTTTAGGTGCTGCTGATTCCCTGTTACAGGGCCCAGCAGGTATCAGCCTGCAGATCCACGGGTGGCCGCTCAGTTTTTGACATAGACATCTACCTGAAGTTTTGGCCCCAACTTCCTGCGTCTTTCCTGCTGCAGGAGGACACAGCTTCTTTCTTGGTAATCCCCTGGAGGGTTTGCCTGCTCCTACCCTCAGCTAACCATTCCTCATCAGTTGGGCCTTTGGGGGTGATTGGATCCTGTTCAAGCCTCTCTTGCTTTTTGTAGGACTTGAATTTGTGACTGCTGCTCTCTGTACAGTACGTAGCCAGACTCCCCTAAACGTTTGGGTATCTCATTTGAGAGGGGTACCGTGTATAAGAGCCCACTTTTCCTCCACAGACCATGAAGCAGTGACAAGATTGAGCCTTCTGCAGACTTGTACCCTCTTCCCTCCTTTGTTCGGCTTTTCTCTTTCTTCCCAGTAAACACAGTAAGAGGTAGGTGCAGGAAGGAAACCAGCTCTCTTGGTTGCCTCATATTTCCCCGCCTTTTTGGTCTCACACCTGGTGGAGTGATCCTGGAATCTAACAGATCAATGCCTAGGTTTTGTTTTCTTTCATAAATCCACATGGAAGTGATTACATAGTTTACTGTCTTAATTTTGTACTCTGCCCAAATGTAATACTTTACATGGCTTCCTACCACATCAACTATGGAGCTTTCTGTTCATAGATTTTCTCTAAAGAGCAGTGTTAAATGTTTGTAAAATGAACATCTGAAGAACCTAGAATTTAGAGGTCCTAACAGACTGTATTTCAACACCAAGATCAAGATGTACATGGAGAGGCTGGGGGTATAGCTCAGCGGCACACACACCTGCCTGGCAAGCACAAGGTCCTGAGTTCGATTCCTGGTACAAAAAAAAAGTGTATATGGAATGGAAATTCCATTCACCTGGGTTTACCCACTGCACCTCTGGGCATTTCTGCTGAACTTGTGAGTCAAGACTTGAGACTCTAGGTGCATTCTTAGAAGAATGAGACTGGAGGAGAAGAAAAAGGAACACAGAGAGCATTCTGGAATCAGTGTGAGAGACTGCGGTATTGGTCTGGCTTCTTGAGTATATGTCAAAACCACATGAGACAAGAAGCTAGAGGCAGAAGCTGGGGATGCAGGCTTCATGAGGTTAAAGGATCATTGGATAAACCCAGCATCACTGGAGACAGCGAGAAAAAGAAAGCCTAAATCTGGTTCTTGATAAGGTTAATGAGCCATGAAAAAACCCACTAGGTGCAGAGCACACAGCTGATTTGGATTTTCTACGATTTCCTACCTAGAGTCTTAAGTGATGCAGAAGTTAATACAGAGCTTGATGACTCTATTACCTTGTGATCACAGATTTCTTCTCATTTCTCCCAGCATATTAGGAGGACAAATCCAAGGGTGTGCGCCTTGCTCCTTGCAGAGCGGAATGAAACACCAAGGGTAATCTTTGAAGAATCTCAGCAACTTTCTCTTTCTGATTCCTGAGTTAACCAGAAAACTCTGTCTGACAGGAATAGCTCCATGTGAACCATCCTTTCTAGAAAGGTTTCAGGGATGCTCTAAATTGCAGTCATTCGCTAAAGATATGTAAAGGAATAGCCAGATTAGGGAAGAAAACAGCACCATTATCTTACATATTTACTCCCTGGAGGGAAAATTTTTCAGGTGGTCCTCCTGGAACAGAAAATATGTACTTACTGGAGTCTGTTGTTATGTTGCAGGCTGATTCTTGGCCCATTTTCACTGAAAAGACCTTGATACTAATATGACCATAAAAGCAAATTGAGGGGGCGAATATGTAGGTATTGATATCAGTAGGGGTACAAGTGATTGTTAATTTTGTCCTAACAAGGTCCAAACACAGTGTCCTGCTGAGAGATGCTCTTTAGGTACATGTCTCTTATGGACTTTGCTGAGTGGTGCTGTTATTGAGTACATATCCTTCATGGGATTTTGCCGAGTGATGCTTTTGGACCTATGTGCACTTCTTATGGACATTCCCTTATGAGTAAGTTGCGATTAATACTATCCTTTTATGGCCTTAATAAATCATATCTCAGCAGCCACCTCTGGGTATTTTCTTCGACCTCCCAACAACCTCCTCCACTGTCCTCGTGCACACGGGCTATAAAACCAGACAGTAACTCACCTACCTGCACACTAGTAAATACTTCAGGAGGACCCTTGTGGCCCTCCTCTAAGGGCAGAGGATCATGAATGAGGCCAGCAGTATTGAAGTGTGTTGGTCTCAGGGCCTATTTTTTATTTTTTTCATTGAGATTGGTTCACAGAAGATACAATTAACTATTATAAAGTGTAGAATTCAGTGACTTTTTTTAGTACCTTCATAAGGTTGTACAACGACCATCTCTTTCTATCATCAAAACTTTTTTTTATCATCCCAGAAAAGTGCCCTATATGCATTAAGTAATCACTTTCCCAATCTTTGACAATCACTAATCTGTTCTGTCTTTATAGAGCTACCTGTAGCAGATATTTTACATAAGAGGGATCATACAATATATGACTTTTTAGTCTGACTTCTTTCACTTAGCTTAATGTTTTTGTGGGATGTACCAACATTTCATTCTTTTCTACAGCTGAGTAATATTCCATTGTATGAATACACCACAATTTACTTATTCATTTGCTAATGGATAGTTGTTTTTTTCTACCTTTTGGTAATTATGAATAATGCTATTATAAACAGTAGTGTACATGTTTGTGTTTGGACATATCTCCTTTGAGTATATGCCTAGGAGTGGAATTACCAGTCATTTGGTAACTCTGTCTAATTTTGAGTAACCAATTCATTTTCTATATCAACCACACCATTGTATATTCCCAACACCAATGTATGAACGTTCTTTTCTTTCTTTTTGTTTAAAGTCACATTCATGGCATGAGGCAATATCTCACTGCAGTTTTGTTTGTTTGTTTCTGTTTTTTGTGGTGCCAGGGATGAGACCCAGGCCTTGTTCATGCTAAGCAAGTGCTTTACCACAGAGCTATATCCCAGCCCTTTCACTGTAGTTTTAATTTGCATTTCTAAAATGTGCAATGATGTTCTGTGCTTTCTGGCATTTGCGGCGCCCTTGTTATATTATTAAAAAATATTAAAGCTATTGAAGTTCTCAAAGTGCTTTTGTTTATGTAGATTCATAGCCAGCAATATTCACTATATTTGGAAACGAAAACCAAGAAATTTTAAAAATATCATTTATTAATAACATCAGAGTGATGACGTACATCATCACTTATTGTGTAGCTTTTGGAAAATTCCACCATACACTTGTGAGAGGAAGGAGAGCAAAAATAGGTAAATAGCATATCATAACAATTTTTTGATGTAACAGCCTCCTCTCCCCCAAATTGAGTAATAATAATACTGTTCAATTTTACTCAAGTAAGAGTAAAACATTTTTTTCTCTGGTCTGAGTCCTTTCGACTTTATCCAGAAAACATATTTGGGGAAGGGGGCATATATTTGGAGAAACTCTGGTTTGTACCTTGTTGGTCACAGAAAGGACAGAAAATGATAACCTGTATCTAGATTCTGCTGAAATCTGCCACTATTTTTTACAGCATTATTCTGCCCTTTCAGAAGTGAAAACTGGGCCATAGTTTAAATATCGGATGTTAAATTTGAACAACTGAGTCAACTGGGACGCCAGGCAATATCTTCCCCAGAAGATTTCATCAAAGCCTTAACACTGAGGATGATTTTAGGGGGTAGGATTGAGGGTGGGTGTGCATGGGGAAAACCCAGGGGTTCTCAAAGTGTGGCCTGCAGACCAGGATTGTTAGTTTCACCCGGGAACTTGCTAGGAATGTAAATGCCAGGTCTAATGAGTCAGAAACTTTGAGACGGGTCCAAAACTCTGAGTTTTAAATAGGTCTCCAGGTGACTCTGGTTTGTCTAGCTTCTTGTAGCATTTCAGCGGTGTTGAAATATCTTTACCAAAGTTTCCAAAGTTAAATTTTGTTAATATAATCTCTCCATCACATCTTCATTCTTTTCTCATTCCTCTCATAGACATTGAAAGGACTGATCCCGTTTCAGTGTTTCCGGGGCAGGTACCGGGACAGTGCACATTTGCACACTGTGTATCTACCTGTGAACATTACATCCGTGCAGCCCGGATTCAGAGTTTGACTTGCAGTCATCCCAGAGACGCAGAGTCCTATAAAGAGGCCCAGTGTACAGGCAAAACGTTTCCATAAGTGTAATTCATGACCTGGGACCTGGTTTATCCTTCTGTTTCTGACACTGACTCCAGTGAAATCCTTTCAAATACTGATTCTGTACAATTCCCTGGGCGTGGCTGCCCTATTTTGGTGTTACCCTTGAGTTACTCTACCTTAGCTTCTGTTCTTTGGGAAATAAAAACTGAAGTCACAATAGAAGGGGGTTTCCTAATAGGACTGGGCTTTTTTTTTTTTTTTTTTTTAAAGAAAAAGCATTCTTGTTACCAGCCCAGAGTTCTTACATGATGTTCAGTAAATGATATAACCAGGAGAATGGGGTCGTCAGCCTGAGCCTGGGAGAAGACCCACAGGGATAAGGTCCCCCATGGATAAGGTCCAGGAACTTGGGGTGGTGGTGGGGTATATTTATATTAGTGCTGGGCTTTGCTTGGGATTTCCAAGCTGGGGAGTTGGAATGAAGTCCACATAAAGGTACTTTTCTCTGTGTTGTGTGTGGTATAGTTTCATACCATTCTAGCTTTTATCAACTCATGTACACAAAAAGGACACCGAGTGTTCTTGCCGTTCCTCCATTTTCCCTTTGAAGACCTGGGGCTGGCTGCTCGGAAGAGGCTGGAACACACCCTTTGATGGTACAGACTGGCTTAGCCATGGGTTTCCGTGCGGTTACTTCAGAGCTTTTCAAAACCTAAGGGATCACAAGAGATGTCTGCTGGGTAAGTGTTTTACTTCCTTGGTTTTGCTTATGCTTCACGACTCCCCTTGGCTGTTCTTGGCTTCTTACCACTCCTGGTTTTCTAGATGGCTCTTCTGTTCTTCTTCCTGTAGTGACAGTGTAACAGGAATTAGGGAGACAGGAATTAGGACGCTACTCGGCAGTAAGGACAGCGAGGTAGGGAAGTCGGGAAGCCCAAAATGGAGTCTGGGGAGTCACGACCCTCCGGGAATCGGACAAAAACACCTGTCGGGCGTCCTCTGGCTGTCCGGGACCTGCCCAGGGCATGATCAGGCAGGCCATTGGCTCAAGGCACACGGGCCCTGCGTGAGCACTACATGAGCACTGCACACATTGGACCCTGCCAAGTGTGTGGTCTCTTATATGGTAGAGATTATATACCTTATACGACAGCCCAAGCTCCTTTCTAAATCCCTTAAGAACTCTGAGCCAAAGACTTGGGCAGTCCTATGCAGAAACCCCTTTTGGCCAGCAGAAATTTTACTCCCGTGCCTTTATATCTGTTAAGTAAACTTGCTTGCACCCTACCACCTCCATCCGCGGGTTCATTCTTTGCCACTGTGGGACACAAGCTGAGCGTGCTTGTAACAACAGACCTCAGTCATAGCCATGTGTATAATACTGTACCAAGAGAAATGTGGTGCCCACTCTAAACCACCTGACCTGCTAACTTCAGATTCTACCTCAGGATGGTGTTACCTTCCCATGCGATAAAACCTGACCTCAACCTTCCCCATCCCCCCAGAAGCTAAAACCTGGCTGCCTTAGTTTAGCTCCTATGGCATCGTTCCTATAGCATGGTAATTCAATTCACCGTTCCATGAGTGCCCCTGAGAAAGAGCCCAAGGAAGCCCTTTCACCTCCCCGTTAATGCTAGGCTGGAACGACTGACGCAGATGCTGTGGGTCTCAGGAAGTGAATGACACAGGGGCTCTGCTTTGTGGTTAATCCCCAAGGAATGCACCACGTGAGATCCTCATTTTATGTCCCATTCCAGGACATGGTGGACGCAGGGGCCAAGTGTCCCACCTATTACAAACTGGGGGTCCTCTCTGAGTCACCCCCTTCCTTAACACTCACTTCACTCAGCCAACAAATCTTGCCCATTTGACCTCCTTTATGTATTTTTTGATTCTTCTTCACCTTCCTAACATGTATCCACTGACCTAGTCAAGCTCTCATTGTCTTCTAAGTGGATTTATTCCATTGTAATGTATTCAAATGGCCCCCGTATAACCCACTATAAGTCTGGCCTCTGCACAGTAGTCAGACGAGTGTTACCACTTAAGTGTCTCCACTTAAGATGTTCTAGGTTTCTCTGTTGCCCTCACAATCAACCCAGGCTCCTCCGTCTGGCCCCATCTTCCATGGCTTGGTCTGTCCATCTCCAAGGAATGGCACATGGTCATCACTGCCCCCTTTGCTTTATGCCCCAGTTGCTCTGCACTACTAGGCTTCTCCCAACATATTATCATGTTATTTAATTTCTCCAAATCTTTCCTGCCGGAAGCCACTTTCTGCCTTTCTGGATCTGGCTGTAGGCAATTCAGGCACCATCAGCTCTAAAAACCTCATGAAGGGCTGTGTCCTCTGCCATAGCTCCTAGTACACCTCCACCTCAGATTTTAATAAATTGTATTTCAAGTCCATGGGTTTTTTTGTTTTTGTTTTTTTGTCTTTCCACTATGCTGTAATCTCCTAAAAACAGGACCATGTTGTATTCATCTTTGGATCACTGGGACAGTGCCTGACTCCTAGAAGATGTTCTATAATTTTTATTTTTTACCTATATGGAGGATAATAGCTTCCAAACTGAAAAACGAGAGCAGCAAAGTCTGCCAAAGGATTTGCATGAGTTGAAACCCCTGGTTTCCAGCTAGTGCTCTCTTACAGAATTTTCTGCAAAGATAAAAATTTTGTATTTGTTTTCATCCAGTAAAGTAGCCATGTGTGGCTAGTGAATACTTGAAATGAGGTCAGTGTAGCCAAGGAACTGAATTTTTCGTGGCATTTGTTTTTTTTTTTTTTGGTTTTTCTCCGGTACCGGGAACTGAACTCACGACCTTGCGCTTGCCAGGCAGGCGCTTTTGCCGCTG